CCCCTCCCGCCCCCTCCCCAGCCACCTAAGCGGGGGTGAGCACCAGTGCCCAGCCACAACCCCACCAGGGCATTCTGCCCAGGCCCACTGCCAGGGCCTCCCTCTCCCGTGGGGCCTGGATTTTCACTGCCACCGCTGCACACACTGAGGGTCGATATTATCTGCCGCGACCCCAAGGCCTCCTTCCTGGGGATCGCAGCCACTGCAGGCTCCATCGCTCCATCCAGGAAGCGGCCAGAGACGGACCCAGACCCTGTCGCCAACCTGTTCTTATGCACACGCGCGTGCACACAGACACACGGCCCTCAGGGTGGCTAACAAACATGGAAATACGAATACAAGGGAAGAAAAGCCGCGTTCCCCAAAAGCCACGTTCAAACCCCGCAAGAGACTCTGCCTGCAGTGGAACTGACAGTGAGGGTGGCGCACAGTGAGGTTTCCTGGGGAAGGAGCCCCAAGGCCACAGCGTGGCCCTCTGCCTGGGTCTGCCACGGGCCCCTTCCGCAGGGGATCTGCGCTCTCCGGCAGGTTCCCCTGCAGCAAGGAGAAGCTGGGGGGGGGGGGGGGGGTCCGTCCTCTGGGCGCTCCAGCCCCTGACTTGGGCCAGGGCTCCTCCCCCATGCCAGGGCGCTCGGTACCAGTGTGCCACGCTGCCGGTGACCACCCACCCTGCTCTGGACCTCTTCTGGAAGATGCGGCTTTTGGCTGTACTGAGCCACACTGGGTCCCACCCTCTTCCCTCACAACTGCCCCAGTTTCCCCGGTAGGGCTGGACTCAGTCCCTGTACTTGAGGGCAAACAATAGAGTCCCCCCCCCCCACTGGAGAAATGCCTGCCACCGAGGCCTGCCTTCAGACAGAGCCTCCTGCATCCCCGGGAAGCCCCAACTCCCAAACCTCTACAAGATTTCTTCCAGCTGGGAACTGCAAGGCGGGGCGGGGGGGGAGGCTTGGCTTGGCTTGGCTTGGAGCAGCAGAATGGCTCCCAGCGCAGGAAGGGATCTGGCCTCAGCCCTACCCCTGCAGAACCACGTAAGCTCCTCGATACCCACTTTGCAACGTGCAGGGCCGTGACCCCGGGGAAGCCTGAGCCCAAAGGGAAAGCGTCTCCTTTCCCAGCCTCGACCGTTTCACGTTCCCCTTTCCTCTTCACACCCCTCCTGAGTGGGCTGATGCCAAGGAGCCGCCTCCGCGGGAAAGCAGAGCGCCCCGGATCGTCCCTCAGGGGGTGCATTTCACAGGAGGGATCACCACACCCCTCCCGTGGGGCAAAGGCGTCCCCCACCACCACCACCACTGGCAGGTGGGGGCCACTGAGAGGACCCCTCCCGGGGACCCTTGCGCTCAGCTCACCCCTCTCTCTGTGTGCACGCCTCCAGGAGGCAGCGGGCTCGCACCCCAGCCCCAGCCAAGGAGTCTCTGCCCCCTGCGCAAAACGAGCGCCAGCACCGGCTGCCGGGGCCTTCAGGACTGAGCAGGCACCCGGGGGCCTCCCTTACCTGTCGTGCGCCTCCTTCAGGTCTCGGGCCAGCTTGCACTTGGGGAGAATGTGGAGGAACGGGGACTGTGGGCCGTCTGTGGCTGTGGAGGGCGACAGGAAGAGCACTGAAGGGGGTTCTGAGCACTGTGCGTGTGTTTGGGCTGTTGCTGGTTGTTTTAAAAAGCTTCCTTTCTACATCTGTCTTCTTTGCGACAGCAGCCCCCCCCCAGGGCTCCCCCCTCCCCCAGGCAGCAGGGTCAGACTTAGACGAAGGAAGAGTCAAGTTCTGCTACGACAGAGTGGCCAGGCTGGGGGCCCTTTCTGTGGTCAGCAGCAGGCAAAGCCGGCAGGCAGGGCAGGAGCCAGCTGACTGGGCCCTTGGAAGCCCGGGGCTTCCTCCCAGCGGTCCGCCCCAGAGCCCGGCCGGAGGCGCCTCCCTCCCCCCCTCCCTCCCTCACTCACTCTCGGACATGGCGGAGACCTCGTCTTGGATGGCCAGGATGAGCTTGGCCTCGCGGGTGAGGTACTGGCAGCGGCGCTCCTCGTGCTGCAGGACGATGGCGATGCGGCGGGAGAGGTTGTGCAGGCAGCTGATCACCGAGGGGGCGGCGGTGGCCTGGGGGGGGACCACGGGGGGGGGAACTCAGGAGAAGGAAGCACTGCCCCGCCGAGCCACCCTGCTCCAGGGAGGAGCCGGCACCAGGCAGAGGGGTGGCTCTTCACATCCCCCCCCCCCCGGCTGCTGCCTCCTGGCCCCAGAGCGAGGCAGGCTCTCCATGGGAACGCTCTGCTTCAAAGAGCCAGCGCAGCAGAAGGGCCCCTGGGCACGCGTGTCCGACGGCCACATGCCAAAGCTCTTCCCACTCAGGTCTGCTGTCCGGACGGCCACAGATGAGCACAATGAGCCCTCAGAAAGTGACATTCTGGTGATGCTCGCTCACTGCACCAACGGCCTCTTCTTAGAGGGAACCTCTCCTGCCCCCCCCCCCGGCATCTGGGTAGCAACTGATGCAGGAGACAAATCGCCCGCTCACAACTTGAATGCCAGTGTAGCTCTCAAAGTAGAATTTTTGCTCACATGAAGACTCCACAGCTTAGAGGGAGCATTGCTCTGGAGCCCTCCTTCCCGAGCAAAGACAAAGATGTGTGAGCTGGAGGCTAAAAATCTGCGAGCGAGCTCACGCTGACTCAGCTGAGAGGGAACACTGCACCCGGGTGGCCTAGCAGTCCCCCACGCTCCCTTCCCACTGGGCCTGTGTCCTCAGCTCTCATTTCTCCCAAGGGTGCGGGGGCCTTTGGCCGAAATGGGCTCCCCCTCCCCTTCCTTCCAGCTCCCTCCCCCCTCAAAGAGCCTGCCACAGAGAGAGGGGAGGAGGTGCGTTCCCAGATCTGGGGAGCAGAACAGGCCAGGGCGCCCCCCCCCCCCAGGGACCCAGCAGCACCGGCAGGGAAGTTGCCATTCCTAACAAGGGCAAGTCACCCCTCGCCCCCCCCCCACGCACACAAAGGCCGCTGGCTCTGCCCTCCCCAGAACAGAGGCACCCCCTCCCAGCTGTTTATCAGCCCTGCGCAGCCGACAAGGTGGAGCTGGCGAGGCGGGCGCGGGGAGGGTGCAGGGAGCAGCTGCTGCGGAGGAGTTAAGGGGCTCGGAGGCCTGGCCAGGCCAGGCCCCTGATAAGTCGGGCCCTGCGCACCGTGACTCGGCAGTCCGGGCCCACGGCACTTCTGCTGACTCACGGCCCCTGCTCCCTGCCTGATTACAGCCCCGCCACCCCCGCCCTCGCCCGCTCTGCCTGCCGACTGCCCGGCAGCCCCAAGCACGGGAAGGCAGGTGGAGGGCGGCCACAGCAGAGCCCTTCCCCCTGCCGCCCTCCCCCTCCCCCTCGCCAGGCCTGGCTGGCGGCACCTCCTCCCCCAAGGAGCCCTGGGGGCCTCTGCCCCCCTGCCTCCCCCGGGTCCTCCCCCCCGCCCTCCAGCCTGCCTCACAGCAAGCTGGGAACCGGAACCGAAGCCCACGGGGGGGGGCTCACCCTCAAGGCAAACACCACGTTGAAGAGGATCATGGTGGGCATCTCCCTTTTCGGGGAGGGGTCCGTCTTGGAGATCTGCAAAGCAAGGACAGGCGCTCAGGCAGTGGGCGGCAGCCGGGGGAGGGCGATGTGGGGCCAGTCACGGGAGGACCCCTGAGGCCGCGGGCGTGGCCGGAGACACTGATGGGCGGGGGGGGGGGCTTTGTTCCCGAGGCTTCCGCTGCATACAGGGAACCCCCTGAACTTCCGCAGCTCCCCCTGCGTGAACTGGGTGGGCATCCAACACTGTGGGTCACGGGAGCAACATCCACAGCGGGGGGCGGGGGCGGGGACTGATCTTCCTCAGAAGCTGGTCTGCCGTTCCCCGTCTGCCCTGCACTGGTGGGGGGGGCTTTCCTAGGAAGGAAGCGGCCCTCTCCCTCCACGGGCCACCGAAGCAGCCCGGCTGGCCTCCAGCGCCCAGCAGACCCGCCCCCTCCCGGGACACACACACACCCACGGCAGGCAGAGCCATGGCGGGGGGCGCCCAAGGGAAGCCTCTGTTTCGGCCACACCAGTGTGCCGATGGATCTCCCGGGGCAGAAGAGAGCCACCCCCACACTTGCCAAGGCAGCCAGAAGGGACCCTCCCCACCAGCGACCCACGCTCCAGGTGCCTCCCCCCACCCCACTGATGTCCGAGGGTCACGCACGGCAGAGCGAGGGGGGGTCTGTGTGTAGCTGGGACTGAGCCCCACTCCTGCCCCGCCCCCCCGCCAACCCCGCGACACTCCCATTTGTGACGGGGGGAGGGGGGGCTGGATGACAGTCCCAAGTCCGAGAGCATACGTGGGGAGGCGGGGGGAGAACTGAGCCTGGCCCCCCCCAACACTCCCTTGCTGGGAAGGGGACACCTCCTTGGCCCAAATAATGGGAGTGTGGAAGGGGAAGAGTGGGGTTGCTGCTGCACCTCCATCACTGGAAGGCCGTCCCCAGACACTCTGGGCCCGCTTCTGCCCAGCTTCTCAGAAAAACCTCAGAAGAGCCCTGCTGGGTCCATCTAGTCCGGCCTCCTGCCTCACACAGGGGCCAGCCAGTTCCTCTGGAGGGCCAGCAACAGGGCAGAGAGGCCAAGGCCTTCCCCTGAGAAGAACCTCAGAAGAGCCCTGCTGGGTCAGACCAGGGAGGGTCCCTCTAGTCCAGCCTCCTGTCTCACACAGGGGCCAGCCAGTTCCTCTGGAGGGCCAGCAACAGGGCAGAGAGGCCAAGGCCTTCCCCTGAGAAGAACCTCAGAAGAGCCCTGCTGGGTCAGACCAGGGAGGGTCCCTCTAGTCCAGCCTCCTGTCTCACACAGGGGCCAGCCAGTTCCTCTGGAGGGCCAGCAACAGGGCAGAGAGGCCAAGGCCTTCCCCTGAGAAGAACCTCAGAAGAGCCCTGCTGGGTCAGACCAGGGAGGGTCCCTCTAGTCCAGCCTCCTGTCTCACACAGGGGCCAGCCAGTTCCTCTGGAGGGCCAGCAACAGGGCAGAGAGGCCAAGGCCTTCCCCTGAGAAGAACCTCAGAAGAGCCCTGCTGGGTCAGACCAGGGAGGGTCCCTCTAGTCCAGCCTCCTGTCTCACACAGGGGCCAGCCAGTTCCTCTGGAGGGCCAGCAACAGGGCAGAGAGGCCAAGGCCTTCCCCTGAGAAGAACCTCAGAAGAGCCCTGCTGGGTCAGACCAGGGAGGGTCCCTCTAGTCCAGCCTCCTGTCTCACACAGGGGCCAGCCAGTTCCTCTGGAGGGCCAGCAACAGGGCAGAGAGGCCAAGGCCTTCCCCTGAGAAGAACCTCAGAAGAGCCCTGCTGGGTCAGACCAGGGAGGGTCCCTCTAGTCCAGCCTCCTGTCTCACACAGGGGCCAGCCAGTTCCTCTGGAGGGCCAGCAACAGGGCAGAGAGGCCAAGGCCTTCCCCTGAGAAGAACCTCAGAAGAGCCCTGCTGGGTCAGACCAGGGAGGGTCCCTCTAGTCCAGCCTCCTGTCTCACACAGGGGCCAGCCAGTTCCTCTGGAGGGCCAGCAACAGGGCAGAGAGGCCAAGGCCTTCCCCTGAGAAGAACCTCAGAAGAGCCCTGCTGGGTCAGACCAGGGAGGGTCCCTCTAGTCCAGCCTCCTGTCTCACACAGGGGCCAGCCAGTTCCTCTGGAGGGCCAGCAACAGGGCAGAGAGGCCAAGGCCTTCCCCTGAGAAGAACCTCAGAAGAGCCCTGCTGGGTCAGACCAGGGAGGGTCCCTCTAGTCCAGCCTCCTGTCTCACACAGGGGCCAGCCAGTTCCTCTGGAGGGCCAACATCAGGGCAGAGAGGCCGAGGCCTTCCCCTGATAAGAACCTCAGAAAAGCCCTGCTGGATCAGACTAGGTAGGGTCCATTTAGTCCCGCATCCTGTCTCACACAGGGGCCAGCCAGTTCCTCTGGAGGGCCAACAACAGGGCAGAGAGGCCGAGGCCTTCCCCTGATAAGAACGTAAGAAGAGCCCTGCTGGGTCAGACCAGGGAGGGTCCCTCTAGTCCAGCCTCCCGTCTCACACAGGGGCCAGGCAGTTCCTCTGGAGGGCCAGCAACAGGGCAGGGAGGCCGAGGCCTTCCCCTGATAAGGACACCAGAAGAGCCCTGCTGGATCAGACCAGGGAGGGTCCATTTAGTCCAGCCTCCCGTCTCACACAGTGGCCAGCCAGTTCCTCCGGAGGGCCGACAGCAGGGCAGAGAGGCCGAGGCCTTCCCCTGATGTTGCCTCCTGGCTCTGGGATGAAGGGGCAGTGCCTCCGACTGTGGAGGTTCCCCTCAGCCACCATGGCTCGTAGCCATTCCTTCTGCTCCCTGAATCTATCTAATCCCCTTCGAAAGCTGGCCATCACCACATCCTCTGGCAGCAAATCCCACGATTCTAATAACGCTCTGGGTAAAGACTCCCACCCGACCGTTTCCCGACACCCTCCTGTAAAGCTGGGGGGGGGGGTTGGCAGCCGGGGCTGTGGGGCTTGGGGGGAGGGTCATGGGGCAGCCCACGCAGTCCTCGTCAGAAGAATCCGTCATGGCTCACCTAACCTGTGCCAAGGAGCACAAGCCTGAGCCAGCTGCACCAAGGGCCCTGGAGGCCTACCACAGATGCACGATCCAGAGGGTGCCTCTGAGCACATGCAGAATGCCGTTCCCAGCGCCCAGGTCCCACCCCACCCCCAGAAGGAGTAAGTGGGAGGGGAGGAACCCTAAAGACGAAGAGACACGTGGGGGGGAAGGAGAAGCCAGAGGAGCCCTTCTGACGGGCGGGAGGGGCACAGGATGCATGGCTCCGTCCTGCCATCCTTTGAGGCACCACCACTTGCTGCGCCAGTCTCGCAGACACGGAGCCCTCGCGTGAGCCGGGATCGGCCCCCTGGAAGCCCCGGTGGAGGTGCGGGGCCGAAGGAGGCAGGCGCATTCCCAGCCTGGGAGAGCTGGACAGAAATGGGCAAGAGGGCCAGGAAGACGAGCGGGGTGGCTGTTGGGTATTTGCATGTTGAAAACACTCAATGTGTGCATGGGGTTAAATGTCTGTTCTGTTGTTACAGGAAATCACCTGCCTTTGTGTTAGCCAGTGTTAGCTCAAGTCTGTTAGCCCGCGAAAGCATCCCTGTTCTAAGAGTTTGATTGGGAGCGAAGTGTTAGTAACTTTGCATTTTATGAGCCCTCTTCCCGTCTTTGTTCGCCTTGGAGGAGAAGCACGTTGGAGGGCCATCTTTGCCAGTTCTTCTAGTCTAGAGAGGATGTAGCTGAATTAGCTCTCTGTTATTTTCTCCCAAGTTACCCTTCCCTATGGTAGAATTGTAATAAACTTTTATATTTTTAAACACACATGGACTCTGGGTCTGATTATTGAACTCTGGCATCACTAAGCTGTTTTTTTAACTCTGCTGAATTTCTTTAAAAACTCTAACAAAAAGGTTATGGGCCCAGAAAGCTTCTGATGCGCAATGAGACCAGAGTAAAAGCAACCAATGTGTGTTAGGATTTTTCTAAGGTAGAAAGAATTTTTTTTTTAATGGCGATTGGATTAAATTGTGTCCAAGCAAGGCTCCTGATTTTTTTTTTCTCCAGTGCCTGTAAAATCAGTCTGAAAGGCTGTGTTTTCTGGCGGAGAGAATTCTTATGTGCCTTTCGTCTTGAGAACATCTTTTTCCCTTGTGAAGCAAGCCGCAAGCC